GCAACCTGCTGGGATTGTTCAGCTAGAGTCTGGAGGCCAGCTGGGGCAGCACCACTAACAGAACTGGAGGAAGAGGTGCCACCTCCTCCTGCTGACACCGCTGACCTGGAGGGCGTGCTCACAATCACTTGACCTTGAGGTGGGAGTGCTGCTGAAGAGTTTGTTCCTTTTGGCTTGTTAAATACATTCTGAATGAACACAAATAAAGCAGAGATTTTACCAACTGAAAAAAAAATGTAACTTACTGATTTTTACTTCCTCATTTTAATAAATTCTCCCTCAAATGTTTTTTACATCTTATTTCTCAGAGAAAGTGTTTCAATGACACACTGCTAGTATAGAAGAATGGAGAAATGGAGCATTAAAAGATAGAGGCCTGGAATCCAGGCTTTTTAAAGATCTCCTGGACAGAGCTCTAATAAATTCAGCATGCCTTTCTTCTCCCCCAAGGTACTCTCCTCCTGCAAGTCCAGCAGTAACCAACACCTGATGGCTATTACAGCACAGTGGCCACTAGTAGTCTCTCTCGCTCCTGGAGCCAGTGATACCACATCAGGCATCTGCCTATCTGCAGGATCACTAAATTCTATTTTTTTGTGTGGACTGAGGTGAGGAGAAAATGGGACAACTGGATGCTTACAATTCCATGCCAAGGGGCATCAGGTATCTGGCCCAGGATGAGGAAGAGGCACATGAGCTCCGACAGGCTACCGTTCAACTCCATACAACCTACTCAACCCATACCCTATTTGACAGGGAAGGAGCCAAGAAAGAAAATGGAAGGGAAGGGCACCTTATGCAAGGACCCCAAGGAAGGAAGCCCAACATCTGGGCTGAAACATTTTGCAAAAATGATCTCTGGGATTCTAGATGAGTAGATTTTTTTTTTTGGTACCAGGGATAGAACTCGGGTCCTTGCACTTACGAGGCAGGCAGACAGCAGAACCACTGAGCTAAATCCCCAGCCAGAGTAGATTTTTTATTTTAACTTACATTTAAAATTTTCTAAGTATCAGCCAGGCATGGGTGGCACATTCCTGTAACCCCAGCACTCCAGGAAGCTTAGGTAGGAGGATCACCACGAGTTTGAGGCCACCCTCAGCTACATAGTGAGTTCAAAGCTAGCCTGGACTACACAGCAAGACCCTATCTCAAAACAAACAAAAAAACATTTCTTTTTTTTTTTTTTTCGGTACCAGGGATCGAGTTCTGGACCTTGCGCTTGCAAGGCAGGTGCCGGAACCACTGATCTAAATCCCGTCCCCCAAAAAAACATTTCTAAGTATGGACCTTCAGCAATCAATGTTTTGCCTAAGAGAACTACATAGATGAAATACTACCTTCAATCATACCTGGAAAGCCACTACACAACTGGAGCTGCAGAAGCTGTATATAGTTCCATTTGACATAGCTAGGTGGTACTGAGGAATTGCTGAGGTTTTACAACTATGACAGGAAACCTGGACACCTTGATGACAAAAAATTAAAAAACAATGACTATGTTACCCCAGTGAACAAATGACCCAAAATTCTAGAAGTAAAAAAACAACAAATAGTACAGTCATACTTCAGTATCCTCAGGTTTCTAGTTCTAGGATTCCCCAAGGACACCAAAATCTGCAGATGCTCACCATATATATAAAATGGCACAGTATTTGTATATAATCTGCATATATTTTCCCAAATATCCACTTGTATACTTTAAATCATGTCTACATTACTTATGATAACTAATAAAATATAAATACTATGTAAACAGCTGCTATACCACCTAGGGAATAACAAGAAAAAGTCTACATGTTCAGTATAGATGAAATTTTTTCCCCTGAATATTTTTTTTTCCCCTGAATATTTTTAATCTGTCTGGCTGAATCCATGAAAGCGGAACCCACAGATATGAAAAGCCAACTATAATAAACACACATACACAAAATCAACAAACTTTATAATCAGTTCTAAATCTAATTACAACTAACCTTATTAAACTCCCACTTACACAACATTTTCTCACATGTGAAACTATAAAATACACACCACAACTATTTAAACTAAAAAAATCAGTTCTTTAAAAATAAGTCAATCTTGAGTTTTTATTTAACCATATAGATAAATTTAGTTTGTAACAATATGAGAGAAAAGTAGTTATGGTCTTTTTCAACAGTTACTAAATCTATAAATTGATGAAATTTAAATATTACCTGAAGAAGTGACAGTTTTAACTCTGTATGCAGATAAACAATTAATAGAGCAGAAAAGCTCTGTTTTTCCTGAGTCATTTGTAGTCTCAATCATTTCAGCTGAGGGCCTCAATGATTTCCCCAGGGCATATGGAGGCATTTGGGCTGAATTCTATTAAGAAAATAAAATAACATTTAGATACTTAGTTCAAGTGTGTACGATTAAATACTGGCCCCCGCCCCAAAGGCCACCTACCATCACTGCCATTCCTGAAAATATTTGAACATGACAATGAACATGACACTCTAAGTATTAGGCTGTTTTGAAAGTTGGGATGTGGGAAACACAAGTTCATTCAGACAACAATAAAATACAAGCTGAAGAAAATTAGATAAAAATTAGATATTTTAGTGACAACAAAACATGTTACAAGTAATGAATGGGGCAGTCAGAACAGTTTTCTCATCACAAATAACCAGAGGGAACCAGACAGTCCATGAACCAGAAGGCCATACTCAGTATAGAACCGGACCTCAGTCCAGCAGAGTCTACCATCTTTATGGCTACTTAATTTATAAGACTCAGGGGCTGGGGATTTAGCTCAGTGGTTTTGCCGCCTGCCTCGAAAGTGCAAGGACAAGAGTTCGATCCCTAGTACAAAAAAAAAAAAAAAAATTTATAAGACTATTTAGCAAGAGACAAAAGTGATGCTTAATGCACATCAGGAGATCCTACAGAACTACCTATTTTTCAAGCTAAGTTTCATAATAAAATTTGCCTGTAAGTTTACTCATGTTTTAATAATAGTGGCTATTATTTATTATTTTTAATGTTTACCATGAGCCAGATCCCATGCTAAACAATGTATATATACTGTAATCATAGAATTCTTTCAGTAACACAATGAGGTACTTTTAAAATTACATTAACAAAAAGTTTAAATTAACTAATTCACAGACAAGGGCTGGGAGTGTAGCTCAGCAGTAGAGTGCTTCTCTACCACACACAAGGCCTTGGGTTAAATCCCCAGGACTGAGGGGGAAAAAAAAATCACAAGATAAACACAAGTAGGAAATAAAACATTTCATCAGACTATAAAGTTCAGGCTCCTAACCACTACACCATCCCGTCCCTGATAAACTAGATGGTCTCTCAGTAACAGAGTAAATGGCAAGGAAATATAAATGTAAAATTTCACATAATCTTCCTAGTAAAAGAGGAACCGTATTTATGCACTTGGTACAGTACAATACTACTGTAAAAAATTAAGGATGGAAGTGATTTTTTTGGATCATTTACAAAATAATAATCTCTTCCTGTGACAGCAGTAACCAGACTGCCAAAAGTGGCAATTCCCAGGAAAAAGATACTTTTTAATGATGAATAAAAACTACCAACTGATCAGAGAAATTAAAGAATCAAAGTTTTGCTAATTGAAAAAAATTTGTACTCTTATTTTTTAAGAGAACTTTTTTTTTTTTTTTTGGTTTTATTGAGACAAGGTCTTACTATGCAATTCATATTGGCCTTGAACTCACTATGTAGCCCAGGCTGGCCTTGAAACTACAGTGATCCTCCTATCTCATCCTCCCAAGTGCTGGGATTACAGGTGTGCGCCACCACACCCAGCTAAAATAACTTTAAAAATCCAAATCACTCAGTAATAAACTGACACAGTGATATATTTAGAACCAAATTAACTCATTAGTTATTGCAATAAATAAGATTAAATTATTTTAATAGGATGAGATTGCCAAAATAACTACAATTCATTCCAAAACACATTTTAGAATGAAAAAAATATACTTCCTTGAGATTCACTGATTTTTAGAAAGTTTTAACTTGCTCAAAGTTTATTTACAATGTTTTCTTCACTATCACTATTTTACAAAATACTTCACATAACCAATCATGAAATTACATCTATAAATTCTCAGTCATGAAGAAAACCTTAAAAACTGACCTATTTCACCTATATCATGTCATTCCGCAATCATCTCTACAGTATTAAAATCTATCCTATTTTTCTGAAGAGGAAATCACACATAAGGATGAAAGGATGGGAGTTCACTCTTTTATTTTGCAGTCCATCTCTGTGCAGCCAATTTAGGATTAAATTTAACTATGTGTGACAGACTGATGTTCATACCTGCTTATATGCCATGAAACTTGTTGAACTAAAAACCTTCTGGGATTGGCTAGGTCCACAGCTACTATAGCAATAGCTCCCGCAGTTCTCACAACAGTTCATGGTTAGGTTGTTGGTGGAATGAAATTTTGAAAAACAAGCATCACTACAAAGACCATGTACCCCATTTTCATACATAACTTCAAATCGAGTCTAGGAAATAGAAACACACACACATACAAAATAAGCAGAGCCAGTTAAAATGTCTCTGATCTTTGAACAGAATCTCAAAGTAAAAATGTCACTTACATCAGCATTTTTTTGACACATACTGCACTTAGTTGAAATACTATTGGTATATATGCTAACAACAGGTTTTTTCTTTAGCTCATAAGAAGACAGACATGACTGACTGCAGAAATCTTTGCTAGCAGAGGAATTTTCAAATTGGGTTGTGATCACATCCTTTGGATTTAAAATGTCTCTAAAAATAAATAAAAGGCAAAATGAAATATGTAACAAATGTAATTCGTTCCTCTTTGTAAGCTAAAGTAATATTTACTAGGGGGCCGCTATTGTATAGTGGGAAAAAGCCCTGGATAAAGCATCTGAAAATCTGGATTTGATGACTAGTTCTGTTACTTCTAGCTGAGTGATGATGAGTAAGGCAACTACTGTGTCAGTTTCCTCATGTGTTAAAATGAGGTTTATGATCTCTAATTATTAGCTGTGTAGATGAAGAATTATATTTAAAATATAACCAGCCAGATGCTCATGGCAAAAAATTTCATTTGCTGGAGCCAGTGGGACTCGATTCAGTGGCCACCTCACAACTCCAGACCCTAAGATATACTTCCTTTGAATACCCAACCACTGCTAAGAGTAGAAGCATGACTGAGACAGTAAATAATTTTTTTTTTTAAATTAAGATTTGGGAAAAGATGATGTACCAAAGATTAATATAAAAATTAGCATGCTATATTTAGCTATAATTTAGAATTTAGCTATAAATGAGAGAGGAAGAACATAAATAACTGAGTTCTGTGAGATTTATGGAGACATTTTATAAGACCTAATTATTGCAATAAGCATTGATAGCAATACCCTGGTAAACAGGAGCTAAGTATTGCTATTCTTCACACAAGAATAAAAATTGAAGGAAATAGTCATTAAAAACATTAGTACAGGCCACAAAGACAAGAACAATAATGGCAGTAATATTAAATGTCACAAGTATAATGAGTAATTACAACATGCCAGGCATTATTCTCTTCATTCAAATTACCTAATTTAAATATCACAATAATGAAGGAAGTATTATCATTTCCACTTTACAAATAAGGATACCAAATCAGAGGTTAAAACACTTGTCAAAGTCATACTGAGGGTAAACAATGATACCATGACATAAACTTGGGCATTTTGGGGTTAATCATTCCACTATCCTGCCTCTCATATTATATACCTTTATTATCCAAGCCTGTTCCATGATAGATATGAAAGAAAAACAAAAATTATTTTAATTTTCTAAAATTCACCTAACCTTAAAAACATGACTATCTTTGAAACCAAATGGATACTTATATGCAGATGAAGGATTAACTTTGGAGAAAAGTAGCTTATTTTTTTACTAAAACAGCAATAAATCTTATTTAATAAGGTGAATCTGCCACTGATACATATAAGTTAACAAATGAGAATAAATTCATAATGAAAATATGTACATATAAATACAAATAGACTCTAAACCTTATGTATCCAAATGAGTATTTTTTTTTTCTTTTTTTCCAAATGAGTTTTATCCCTTTTTTTTATCTTGGAAAAACACACCTCTTCCTATGATAATATGAGCTCAAAACATTCTTTTCTTATTTCTTTTTTTTTTAATTTCTCTTCTAACTTACAGAAACCCAAAAAAATTTTTTTTTAATTTTATGGTTAAATCTCACCATTTAACAGCAGTATTCCATTTAATCACCTAGTATACTGACCTAATAAGGTATCAAGTAGCTTTTGGCAATTTGTAAAAATTTGGCACATGCTGAAAAGACAGATTTGTCACCTAACCTAGTCTAAACAAATATTTTATAGACTCTGAAGGCAATGGCAAATCTAGAGAACAAAACAATTTTGAAGGGAGTAAGGGATAGCTCAGTGGTGGAGTCTCTGCATTGTATGATGAGGACCTAGGTTTAATCCTCAGCACCACACACACACACACACACACACACACACACACATACACACACACACATACACAAGAGCAACACTGTGGTAAAAAGTAAAAAAAGTCACAACCAATATACATTTGGATGGATAAATAATGCTGTGATCTTCAAAATTTAATTCATTTTAGCCTGGCATGATGGTACAAGTCTGTAATCCCAATACTCAGGAAGACTGAAGCAGGAGGATTGCAAGTCTGAGTCCCACCAAGGCAACTTAGCAAGACCTTGTCTCAAAATTTTTTTAAAAAAGTTAAAAAGCTGTGGATATTGCTCAATGATAAAAGTGCCCGACTTCAATCCTCCAGTACCAAAAAAAATTGTTTAATTCATTGTATTCTGATATTTGATATGATGAAACAAAATATCTTAAAAATAGGAAACTAAATTTATTCTTTCATATCATTTTCATTAAAATGATAATGTATTAAAGTAAGGTGTTCTAGAGCCAGGGATTTAGCTCAGTGGTTGCGCCACCTGCTGCACAAGCTCAAGGACCCAAGTTCCATCCCCGGTATCAAAAAAAAAGTAAAGTGTTCTAAAGGTGTTTTAGAACACAGTAGGAATATTTAGGTGGAATATTTAGGTAATATATTTAAAAGCCCCTCTCTCCTTCTTAGTTGGACATTTTCATCTTAGCAGGATTAATTCTTAGATAATTTAGGCTAGGTGGATATGATAGTGCACACCTGTAATCCCAGCACTCAGGAGGCTGAGGCAGGAGGATCTCTGTGAGTTCAATGCCAGCCTGGCTACATAGTGAGTTCAAGGCCAGCCTGAACTACATAGCAAGACCCTATCTCTAAAAAACAAAACAAAAAAGATAACAAGCTAACACACCAAGCAGATAAACTGTTATATATCTCCAAAGTCAAAAGAAAACCCTATACATTTTGTTATATATACATATTACATTAATTGTAAGTAGTGTATCATGATTTGAATTTTATTACATTAATAAAATCTCACTTACTAAGTACTTGCGATGTGGTAGGCCATGTGCTAACTTTGTGCTATTAAAACCCTAAGAAACTGCCTCGCAAGAACAAGGTCCGGGAGTTCAGTCCCCAGTACCAAAAAAAACCCCTAGGAATTAGTGGCACACACCTGTAATCCTAGCACTGAGGGGGGGGGGGCAAAAGCTAGAGGCCAACTTGAGCTACATAGTGAGTTCAAGGCCAGCCTGAACTACACAGTGAGACACTGTCCAAAAAAACCAAAAACATAAACAAAACCTAGAAATTAGATATTATTTGCAAATAAAAAAATGTAGGTTTAGAGAAGTTAAAATATCTAACCCAAGATCACTCAGCTAGTTTAAGTCACAGTCACAATTTAAAACTCAAGGGTTTTTTTTGTGTGGTTTTGTTTTTTGAGACAAGGTCTTGCTCTGTATCCCAGGTTGGCCTTGAACTCACAATCCTCCCACCTCAGCTTCCCAAGTATTGGGATTACAGGCATGCACTACCATGCCATTCTCTCTTTTTGGCAGTGCTGGGGATCTAACCTAAGGCCTCTCCCATGCTTGGCAAGAACTCTACCACTGAGCTATATCCCTAGCAATAAAACCAAGCTCTTAACTTTTCTTACTCTATGTTAATGACCACTGCCAATACAAATTTTTTAAAATATCATCTGTTTCATTCCTGTTTCCACTCATGGAAGCTGCTGGCTAGCAAGAAGACACATATCTCATGGTACGGGATTACAGGGTGGCCCCTGAATCTACTTCCATTGGCTCCAGTGGATGAAACCTGGCTGGAGCTGGAACCTCACACTACAACCCTGGAATTATGATAGCACAGAAATAGGCAAAACACGCCAAATTCTTCAAATATACTAAGACAGAAAAAGGTTTACATAACTTTGCTGTTTCTTCCTCTCTCTGCTTCTAAGCATTATTTAAAGCAATAATGACCTCATGAAAGTTCACAAGGATATTAGAAACAAACATCTATAGTCATGACCCCTTAGGGTTTTTTTACCTTCTAAAGAATTAACTTTCACATACTACTGTTATTATTTTATTCTAAATTTCAATAACTTTCAAGATAAAAATAATCTTAATGGTTGCTCTTCACAATTATAAGATATACAAGTGGTCCTGTAACTCCCACAAATAGTTTATTTCTTTCTATAGTAAAATTTACACTAAGAGAGACAGGAAACAGGTTTAGGCAACACTTCTAACACTAAGTCACTTATCTGATGTTGAAAAAGTAAACTAATTTGCAAATTCCCAAATAAGCTGAAAAGCAACTTCCAAAGAAATGTGCTCAATACATTGAAAGAAACACTAGCATCTTTGAAATAAACTATATACACATTTGAAAAAGTAAAGTGAAAAGGGATGTCATTAAGAATTTGATACTTGGGCCTGGAATCTAGCTCAGTGATTCCGGCACCTGCCTCACAAGTGCAAGGTCCTGAGTTTGATCCCTGGTACCAAAAAAAAAAGAATTTGATACTTGGAACAGTTTGTGCAGGTTTTCTTGGGAGGAGGTTGCAGGCAGACAGGTGAAGAAAATCCAGTGATGCATCGTGTAGAACAGAAGAGCTGAGTAGATCCTGTCTTGTGATATGCAGTTTGCCCCTTATAAAGCATTTTTTTACAACCAGAACAAAAAACTTGAATAGCTATAGCTGGAACTGAAGGAAACAATATATTTGGGGCAGATGATGGGAGAGAAAGTTGAAAGCCTGGGGTCAACTGTTGAGCTAGCAAAACAAATATAAAGAAAAAACAGTTTTAGTATCAAAATGAGGGCAAATACATTGTTTTTGTTTTTTTTAAGACAGGGTCTCACTTCGTAGTTCAAGCTGACCCTGAACTCACTATGTAGCCCAAGCTGGCCTGGAACTCTCAGCAATCCTCCTGCCTCAGCCTCCTGAGTGTTGGGACTACAGGCATGCACCACCATAACTGGCTGTAAATATATTCTTTGATAGTACAAATTTTCTCAGCTTTGAAATCCAATACTAATGAAGTAATAAGTACTCCAAAACAAGGAATTTTAAACTTTTTTTTAACCATTACCTATAGAAAGGATTACATTTTAAATTATAACGTATTTCTCACATACATATATTTGTGGGGGTTGAGCATTGTTTAGTAACTGACACAGGCCAAGTATGGTGGCACACACAGGTAATCCCAGCACTCAGGAGGCTCAGGCAGGAGGCTTATCATGAGCTCAAGGCCAGCCTGAGATACATAATTTGCTTAAGGTCAGCACGAATTACAAAGTGAGACCCTATCTCAAAACAAAGCAGAACAAAACATACACCCATACACAAGTAACTGAAACAACAAAGTTTCATGAAACAGTACATTTTCTTACTACATGCATCATATTTTGATGTAATTTTATTCTATTTCATTTTTTTAAATGCTGGTAAAGACCAGCTCCCACTGTCTGAAAAACATGAAAGAAAAAGACACAAGAAGTGCTTTCCCTTAATTCTACTAGATAAAATAAACAATATTAACCATAATAAACTTTTAGAGTTCAATTTCTTACCCAGAGGACTTTGGTTAACTGAAAATACAGCACTGATTTTCAGTTCACTTCCTTGAGGTTTTGGCTGTTGGGCATGTGCATACTCCTTTTTTAAAAAGAGCAAGAGAGAGAGAGAAATAAATATACTTAAGAAAAACTAGAAACTCAACCAAATACTAATTCTATCATATTCATCACTTACAAATCCTAATCATAATTACCTTTACAAAAGTCAGAATTTATAATGTTTTGTACTAGATTTAATCTTTGCAAAGACACTCTTTTAGAACCGGAAAATATTTTTAAAAGTTACATTTATTTTTTAAATGTAATCTTGATGTATAATACATAGTTATTCCGATCTGGTATATTACTTGTTTTTTAGAATGTATTTACAAGAAAATGATAAATAAAGTTAAATATGAAAGATTCAGAATTTAGAGCTAAATTAGTTAACTGTAGTCAACAGACTTACCAGCTGTCATATCTATTCACAGCAGAAAAGATACAAGAATTTCAATGCAATCTGCTCACTATACACAAAATCATCAGTCTAAATCAGATTAATCCTTAACATATTCATTTTCTTTTTCGTTTTGTTTTGTCTTTTTGAGACAGGGTCTCACCATGTAGTTCAGACTAATCTTGAACTCACTATGTAGTCTAGGCTGGCCAAACTTGTAGGGAGTCTCCTGCCTCTGCCTCTCAAATGCTGAGATTACAGGTGTGCATCACCACACCCAGTTTAACATATTCTTTAAAATGCTATACAATAAAATGCAATCTTTGAATACTTTAAATGTCCATCTATGTATCCTTTTTTTGTACTTTTTTTTGGTACCAGAGATTGAACTCAGGACCTTGTGCTTGCGAGGCAGGCATGGTGCCACGGAGCTAAATCCCCGGCCCCCATCTTATGCATCTTTTAAAACAGTTTAAAAAGAAACCGACTTCTTTGAAAAACAGGAATAAATAGTAGTGGTATTTCGCACCCAGCAAAATAAACCATTGTTAATTTCAAAATTACCTTTGAAGTTTCTTTAGACCATTAGATACTAAAAATAAGGAACCACTGCATTAATTCACCATTTCCCATGATATATATTATCCCACCAAAAAAGGTGCTCCCTATAAGACAGGAACTATACGTAGGTTCTTTCTTTATAGGCCCAGAAAGATGTTCAGTAGCTTGTCCCAGTTCACAAAGACAGTAAGTACACAAATAGTAATCAAACCCAGGTGCCTCAGTTCCAAAACCCATGCTGTCTCCCTCACAGATGTACAAATACAGTGTCACTGCTACAGTGAATTCAAACTCTTGCACCCAACTGAAATTAAGTTCCCTTGCTATAGTTTCTCCCACCTCCTTTCTCTCACAGCACTTACCATAACATTATTTCATATTTATTTGGATTATAATTAATGGGTAACACAATCCCCATACACTGGACTGGAAAGACTATATCCACCATGTATAGAAATCATATCTGTTTCTTCACCTCTGTATGCCCAATACCCAGCTCAGTAAATATAGCACAACAGAGAAGATGATGGGTTCTGACAGAAAATGTAATCTTGACTCTTAAATGAGTAACTGAATCTTTCTTAGTTTCAATTTACTTATCTGTAAAATAAAGATGATATTACTTAATTCATGGGCCAATAAAGTAACGACTTAAAAAAAGGATATAGGATGATAGACACATAAATATGCTAGCTCTCACACTTATTAGTTTCATAATTACAGCACCTAATAAATATTTGTGGAATGACTGAATACAAGTCCATTGAACTGGATGTTCTTAAATATTGCTCTATACCTAAACAATTATTTATTGCAAAGAGGTAGATGTTTAACATACTGTACACATTTCCTTGTACTTATCAGAAAGAATGCTTAACATAAAAAAACTATTCTGCTTTATCATCATCTCAATCTCTTAATATTTTTACATCACAAAGTAACTGTTCTAAATCTTCTTCACTCACAATATTTCCTCACATATTTCTGCTCACGTTTCAATTTCACCAGCTAAAAATAAGCAACTAAAAACTCCCTCTCAACCTCCTAATTGTCCCCTCCACCACAACTACAAACTGATCAGCCAATTGTCCTCTTACCTCACAGGAAAAAGCAACATTCTTAACCACAGCTAAAAGAGTGCATATGTTCTGAATTCCATCCCTCTCCCTTCTTGGGCATTCCATTCTACCCTTCATTTTACACCTTTCTCTGTTTCCATAATGTTTTCTTCCCTCCTGGTTTATAAATTAATCTGTTCCCTTAAGAACTGCCCTCTCAGCTAGGTGTGGTGGCGCACACTTGTAATTCCATCATTCAGGAGGCTGAGGCATATGGATAGCAGAGAGTTTTAAGGCCAGCCTGGACTACATGGTGAGTTCAAGGCCAGCCTGAACTACATAGTAAGACCCTGTCTCCAAAAAACAAAAAAGAAAAAGAAAAAGAAAAAGAACAAAAGAAAAGAACTGCCCTATTTTCTCCTTTCCTTTATAACCAAACTCTAAAACTCTAAAAATACTTTTCTCTACTTCTTCACTTTGAATCCTCCCAAACCCAATACAATCAGACTATTAGTTCAATTGAAACTCTTTTAATTCTAAACCCATCATTCCACCAATTGCCTAATCCATAAACACTTTTAAGACTTCTATCTTACTTGGCCTCTCAGATTCATCTGACAGTGTCAATGATTCCACTGTCTTTGGTTTGGTAATTTCAATTCATTACGACCTGTTATTTACAATGAACTGAATATCTGTGTCCCCTCCCCACAAATTTGTACTGGAACTCTCATCCTTACAGTGATGGTATCTGGAGGTGGGGCCTTTGGGAGGTAACTAAGACCTAAGGATGGAGCTGTCATGAACAGAATTAGTGCCCTTTTAAGAATAGGTTAGAGAACTGATGCTCCACCTCTATGTCCTCAAAAAGAAGTAGGTATTAACATCCTGGAAGAAGGCCTTCACCAGAACCTATTCATGTCTGATCTCAGACTTCCAGGCTCTGGCACTACAGGGATAAACTTCCACTATTTGTAAGTCATCCACTCTATGGTAATTTGCTATAAGAGCACCAAATAACTTAGTGCTACAATTTTCATGATTTGCCCCCTCTGAAACTCATGTTGAAATCTGATTCCCAAAGTAACAGTGTTTAGAGGTCACATGACCCTTAGGAGGTTTTACAGTTTATCCCAAGCATCACTTGGGCAGCTGTGATTTCAACTAGTTGATGCTTGTATTGAATAAATTTGATTAAATTGCCATTTTTACACTTCCTGTTATATTACCTTATAAAATCAATGAAAAATATGCAATTTTTGGTCATCTTGTATTTAAATAATTGGACTGGTAAGTGGTTAAGAGGGATGCTTTCTCATGGTTCTGGATTTGTTACCAAGAGCAAGCTGTTACATAGTGAACCTGCTATGTTTTTTCTTCCATGCACATCTGCTCGCCCTTCCACCTTTCCACCTTTCCAAAACAACACCACATACTGACCAGAAACCAATCAGATGCTAGTAACATGGTCTTGGATTTCTAGGCTCCAAATGTTAGCCAAAATAAACTTGGGGGCGAGTGTCTGGGGATTGAACCCAGACCTCAGGCATCCTAAACATTGTGCTACTGAGCTCCATCCCCAGGCCTTTTGACTTTTGCTGTTGTTTTAAGCCAGGGTCTTGCTATGTAATTCAGGCTGGTCTTGAACTTTCTACGTAGCCCAGACTGGCCTCGAACTCTCAGTGGGCCTCCTGCCTTGGCCTCCCAAGTGCTGAGATTACAGGCCTGTGCCACACCTGGCCTTTTTTTTTTTTGAGACAAGATCTCACTACATTGCTCAGCCTGGCCTCAAACTTGACTTGCTGTCCTCTGAGGAGCTGGAATTACAGAAATACACTACTATGCCCAGCTAAAATAAACTTCTTTATAAAGAAGTAACAGCAACAGAAAATGGACTAACAGACAGTATCCTTCATTGTGTGACCGTTAACAAGTTAGTAGCTGTGTCTCAGCTCCTCATGTGTAAGATGGGAAGAACAACAGTATGTAACTCTGGCTGTGAGCGCAGCATGTGGATTAATATATGCAAACTGCTTTCAATAGTGTTCAAATGTTATGGATTATAATAAGCAGAAATAAAAATGCACTGAAAATTGGAAAGCTCAACTCTAATATCAGATAATATTAAATATTTTAGATTTGTCTCTTATTTTCCAATATTCTAATAAGATTCCTCAATATAGCATAGAAAAATCACATACACAATTTGTTCAAATGGCCGTTTGATAATAGTCCACATACTCAATCATGAAAAAATACAGCCTAGTCAGATAGAAGCATTAATAAAAACCAAGAAGAACTAAAAGCTCCCTAAACACTTAAGTTTTCATTTGAAGATGTTAGGGCCATTTCCATTATCACAATTTTATATTCAGAAAAAACAACTTACAGCACAGTATTTGTTAAGTTTATATATAACAAGCAAGGTAAAATGAAAGAAATACTTGATCATAAGTGGGAAAAAAAACAGGTTTGTATCCCAGCTTAGAACACTGGGAAATCACTTACTCCTTTACACTTATTTTCTCTCTGTAAAACAGAAGCTCTTCTATTCTGATTACTGAACATGTACTTTGGGCCAGTCATTGTGCTAGGAATTGGGGATCAGTTCAAGACCAATCTCTGGCTTCAAAGAATACAGTCTAAGATATGAATGTAAGGGAAAGAGTTGAAGAAGAGGATGACAGGATCAGCATGATCAGCATAAAAATAAAATTCACTGATGCCATAATAAAAGTGACATACACTATAAAACAAGAAAAAAATAATTCTGTATCTGAGTAACAGACAATTAAACTTGATCTTAAAAGAGTAGAAAATTTTTGTCAGGCTACCTAGTTTATTTCTTTTTCTGCAAGTAAAAAAAAAGAAAAGGAAATAAAACTGAATAAAATATATCTTTGAGTGACCTGCAAAAAGTTCACAAGAGCACAGATTAGAAAAGGTGGGAAATAGGGCCGGGGATTTAGCCCAGTGGTTCTGTTGCCTGCCTCGCAACCACAAGGACCAAAGTTCAATCCCTGGTACCAAAAAAAAAAAAAAAAAAAAAAAAGGTGGGAAAGGGGCCGGGGATTTAGCTCAGTGGTTCCGCTGCCTGCCTCGCAAGCGCAAGGACCTGAGTTTGATCCCAGGTACCAACAAAAAAAAAAAAAGGTGGGAAGGATGAATAATGACACTAAAGGCTAAACATGGATGGTCTGGAAATATGTAAAATTCCAGATAAGAAACAATGAAATAGGGAGGAAAAGGGACAGACTCAAAAGCTATTTGAAAGGTGGTATCCTCAAAACCAGGCAAATGGTTACTTCTGGGAGAGTGAGAAGAACAATTTAAATAAGTGTCATGGATGCCACGACTCCTCACCTCCATATCCTGCGGACACTACCTCTAAGACCATCTTGGCATCACTCTAGGAAGGCATGGAATTCATGAGTGAGACAAAAATCTATCTGGGATCTCTATCCTGGAATGATACTACCTGTGCGATGGTGCAAGATATTAAATACTACTTTTATTTTTTATTTTATTATGTGATTTATTATTTTAAAATAATATTGTTTTGATTATGCAATAAAGTCAATAAATATCAAGTATAAAACAAAGGAATTGTCCAAGAAGAAAAAATCTGTGCCAAAATAACTACTTGATTCTCCACAGTAATTTTGGTGTTTCTAATCTGGATCCCTGAAGGGTAGTGAGAAAGCTCTTTACAAACACAGATCAGAGGGCCGGGGATTTAGCTCAGTGGTTTCGCCATCTGCTGAGTTCAATCCCCGGTACCAAAAAAAAAAAAAAAGAAACTGACAAACACAAATCTGTTTCATATTACTGTCCCATTTATGGAGACCAAAATTTATAACAAGGCCCACGAGGTCCTGTAAAATCTGGCCTCAAACTATATACAGAGGCTTATCATAGAAGCAGGACACCATAGGATCTGAAGTCTGAATATCTGGGTTGAATAGTCTTCACCATTTACAAACTGTGGCTTTTTTTCTTTGGTTTTCTCATTTATAAAAGAAAGATAATATGGCTATGAGAGTGATACGTGGCATACTCTAACCATATATAAAAGAATGATAATAAGTAAATATTAAAATATGTCAACACTATGATATAGTATATATTGTACATTGATATAGTAATACCATCTATTATCATTGTTAATCATCATCACCATTTTTATGCCTTTTATACCAGCCCACTGATTTTACAATTTTTCCAAAGAACCATCCATCATTCCAACTCAACTTGTTTGTAGTTTTTAGAACATTCTCCCCCATGCCCTTTGCCTAGTCCATTCATTCTTCATAATTCAGCTTACAAATCCTTCCCTCAGGGAGACCTTTAACCTTAAATCCTAGCCAAAACCAGGTCTGATTCCCTGTTTTAGGCTTTTCTTCCAAAGCACTTGTCATAGTATATAAAATGATTCATCACTTGCATAATCTGTCTTCTTTACTAATCAATAAGCTCTATGAGAGGGGGGACTAGGCTGACTATTCTCTCCTAGATTCCAGCACCTGAACAAGAAATACTTAAAGGAAACTATCAAATATAAGAGAATTTTTAAAATGCCAAATATGAAGAAATGGCAATATATAATACTTTACACATAATCGCTTAATTAGCAAGATCTTTTTCATTCAAAGCACAGAAAACCTAATTAAATCATTATCTTAGTCCAGTGAGGGTGAACCTTTTAGAGCTCTCAGTGATAGCAAATAGCCCACTGCAGCATACACACCACAAGGTTTACCACCACTGTCTTAGTCTATTTTGTGTTGCTGTTAGAGCCTCACAGACTGAATAATTTATAAGGGAAAGAATTTTTTTCTCACAGTTCTGGAGGATATGAAGTCCAAGATATTAGCGTTGCATCTGGTCAAGGCACTGTTACTGTAACATAACGTGGCAGAAGGTAAAAGGGCAAGATGACCCAAGAAAGAACAAGAGAGCAAGAGAGAGCAGACCTGGCTTTTATAACAAGCTACTCTTAAAATAACAAATCCACTCCTGAGATAGCTGCATTAATTCATTCAAGGGGGTAGAAGCCACACTGATCTAATCACCTCTTGCTAGGTCCCAATCCCCAGCAATTGGGAATTAAGTTTCCAACACATGAACTCTGGGGGACACACATTTAAACCACAGCACCCATCTAATGATAAAAAAAAATTATTTGGGAAAAAAAAATCATTTGGGTTGTTTTAACTTATAAACCAGAAACTCCCTAGCTAAAATTTTCAATTCAACCGACAGAACTTTTAAAATTTAAAAATCAAGAGGAAATGCTTACTGCAGCATTGTCAGGTTCTTCTTTAATTTTATCCAGAAGCTTCTGCTGTGGGGCCATTGCTTTGCCACATTTACCATCCAAAGGTTCTTTCATTCTACTTTTTTATGTAGAGGTGTTCCTCAGTTTAAAACTAATAAATTTCTTCTTGGCAATGAATAGTTGGACCCCTAAAACACAACATAAAGAATTGGTACTCAGGTTGCTGGTTTGTTTCTTCTTGTTTATCTATATAAAAAGGTTCAGGGTTCACCAATGAAAAGCAATTCTGGGGCCATGACTAACTATTCTTCCTTTCTGCTCCTTAAGTAGCTACCTTTACATAAAATTCTAATAATAGCTCCCACTATTACAGTATCTTTAAAGACAAGTACTGGGGATATTTGATATGTTAAAAGGAGCTATGAGGAGTTGTTATGAACTTGTCTGAGGGAATGACTCAAGAAATATTCCATGCACAAAAAGAGAAAAAAAAGAAAGAAAGAAAAATAAATATTCCATGCAGTAAATATTATGATTTGGAGGCTCCCATCAGTTTTTAATTCTCAAAATGGGGCATATCAACCTTCATATCCCCACCTTTACTAAACCTTCACAGAGCCCATCAAGGACCCATTTCTTGGCCTAACTAGATTAAAGGGCTCAGGAGTCCATCGCAAGTGAACAATAGGTATAATCTTAAAGAGAGCTACCTGTAGTTTTCAAGGTCTCCGTGAGTGTCAGGTCCCTCTGAACCCCACTTTGCAAACACCTTCCCTTAAACACAAAAGGGTAAAGACCTTTCAGGAGAAAGTCCTTTCCCAAAATTGTAAACGTAAATATTCAAACTACAGCAAAAAGCAAGCTCTCCAAAGTTATCATTATCCAAACAGGCATGGACATGAACAGATGTTTTAAAAGCCTGTTCCAAAAAGAGAAGAACTTTTGACCACTTGCCACTGCCTAGTAATCTACCGCTACTCATCCCTCCCGAGTATCGCACGCGTCCCCAGATTTACCTTTCCCACCAAGAATCCCCAACCCTGTAAGTCAATGCAGTCAGTCTCAGAAGGCGAGCCCAAGACACGCGAGTGCAACTCACCTCGCCCCCGAGGGGGCGGTCTGCAACAGCCGCCACCGTGACGCCAGCCCCGCGCCGCCTTATCACGTGGCGCGGCCTGCTCCACACCCCCACCCACCACCCACCCACCCCCCTCCCGCGCCAGCCCTCCGGCGGCCGCCGCGGCGCGCCCGCCTTTGGTCGCCTCCCCACCCCTAGAGGAGCCACGAGCGGAATTCAGATAGGACCCATGGCCCCCACTCCAGGAGGAAGAGTATATTCTCTTACAAGAATTTTTACCTGATCCATCGGGAAACAACTCCCGGCAAACGGCGCGTGTGCAGCCCAGATCTCCGCTTTCTTTCCCGTCATGCCCCTGATCAGAGCTGAGTGGACCTTCCCAGCCCTGGTCTCCGCCCTTTTTACCCGAAATGCACCAGACGAGCTGAGTGGGCCGAGTGGGCCTTCCCGGCGTCCCTCTCGCCTGAGTTATGGTTGACTTCTTAAAGAGACCAAGGCTTGATTTTGAAAAATGGGCGGGAGGGGGCTCTGGTATTAGAGTCATTAGATGGTGTTAAAAGTGCCTGGCTCTGTTCTTTAATGGCCATATTCAGAAAGGTGTCCTGCCAAGAAACATAATAATAACTAACTGGGCATGGTGGCACAAGCTTATAATCCCAGCACTAAGGAGGCAGAGGCAGGTGGATCGCCATGAGTTCGAGGCCAGCCTGAACTACTTAACGAGACCCTGTCTCAATAATAATAATAATAATAATAATAATAGTAGTAATAATGGCAACAACAAATACATGACATTCACTGAGCCAATTGCTTGCTAAAGTTGACCACATCCTAAGAGATGATAAGTTTTTAACTCTGAGATATAAATGAAGATATTGATTAACTAGACAAAGTCAAGATTTGGTATTTTTAAAATTCAACATTGTTTCAGGTATACATCCATGATTTATGAGGTTGTCGTTCTTTCATTTTAACTGCTATCTCTAACTCTATAAAGTATGCTACAATTTGATCACCTACAATTTTTTTTTTAGTTCTTTTATTGGTACATTTTAGGTATACAATTCATTTACATTTATCATTGAGTGTTTGTACCTGTACATGATATATCTTGGTTCTT